CAAGAACTTTACTGTGATTCCTGTTAAATGCAGCTCAAGTATCTCAAACAGAAATTCAACAGTTCATAAAAAAAATCGTTTTAAGCCCTACAGACAGGATTGGCATCCTGTCGATATCAACACAGATAAGTAGCAAAGTAGTTATAGAGAGAAGTCATAAAATTTGTAAAAAGTATGGGTAAAACTTCATTGGCCTTGATACAGCCACGTATTCGACATTTAAGATGACAACAAGCTTATCTAGGCATTCACATGTTTCTACATCCACTCAAGGCAGAAGCCCATCCCAGCTTTGAAATATGTAGAATTGTGCTGTAAATACTATAACTCGAATTCCACTACTTCCAGGCAGGAGGGGGAGGCAGGTGGTGGTAACTGCGACCACCTCAACTAAGAAAAGCCCATCCAAGGCTGAAGTGAATGGGAGAAGGGAGAAGAAGAAGGCACTTACCCTTCCCATGCCTCCAGAGATGCGATCAAGGTCGCAGTGACTGCTGATCGAGGTGTCGATGCTGAGGTCCTCTATACTCTCTTCTGAACTCGCCTGTAGAACTCCCTGCTCACGCAACCGCTGACGCCGTTCCCGCACTGAAAAGTAAAAAAGGAGCCAATTTCAGTACGCTCCCTCTGAGTACAAAAAGCCATGATAATGTGAGTATGCCCACTCAATCTCACCTAACAAATTGTACTTTAACAACGGCAACAGGTCCTAGAAGTTCATCAGAGTATTCAATATTAGAGGGGAAATTCCAACATAGTAGAGAATAAAAGAAAGTAGGCTAGATGGGGTGCTCAGATAATTTAATTGGTAAAATTGAAATGGAAACTAATTTGATGCGATATCATCTGAATGTTGAAAGCAAGTTTAAGGAATACACACCGATGCAGGATGAAATTACACCTGTTATTAAATTTCAAAGTCTAGCAAAAAACGAGATGGGTAATGCCCAAGAGCCTTTGACAGTGATGTTCTTTTGAAAACTATCACTCAAAACGCTACTTGGGCAAAAAGGGTCAACAATTCAGTGCACTCTAATGAAACGCCTTCCTCTAATCACCTGAAGTCGCTTATTTTACAACATTATGGGAATTCAACTCAGCCAATTTGTCCGATAATCCCGATTAGCATTTCCGAAAAGCCATTTGATGCGCATTAGAAGCAGCTCTATA